TGTTAGTTTTAGTAAAGAATATTAAACTAGATTTTAAAGTATTTAAGAACATTTTATAGGATATGTGTTAATTAAATAAATCTCCTATACAATTATCAATCTCTAATTTTTGTCTAGAAGATCCGGCAACACTGGATTACGAACACATGATTATCTAGGGATATTTGGTTTGATTTATTTGGTGATCATCATAATTTCGTTTTATAAAGTAAATTATTAAAAAAACATAGTTTTTTTTTTTTTAAAACAATTAGATAATCCTTCTACCTTTTATGGCTTTCTAATCTAAGTGCATGTTGTCTGTTGCTTTATTTTTGGTTCCCATACTTTTTTTAATATTTTTTTCTTTTTAGTGGACTTAATTCGTTTCACAGCTCTTTTTAAGATTTTAAATAACACTGCATAAAGAAATGTCACTGCAACTGTCAAAAGCGAAAAGCGTTACCATATAAACCAACCATCAACAACTCACAATGTTGTCTCAAATGTAACAAAATAACTAGTAAATTTTGTTTTTGCAAGTTAATAGCTATCGTATTAAGTATAGAAGCAACTCCCCTAATACCTTTTCCCGCAATGTACCTACTGATCGAACCTCCTCAAATTAAAGAAAAAAATACTAATTTAAAACAAATTTATTCTCTTTACGCTATACTTAGCGTCTACTACTTTAGTTTTTGATTGGAAAAAAAATTAACCTTTTGAAGTTAACATCATATTTTCTAAAAGGGCAATTTAAAAAAAAATATTTCTATAGTTTTACATTTTTCTCTTTCAACCTGGATTACCCCCTAAATGTGTCCGACAAATTGCGTGTAAGGTCATCGACTTAAAATTCGGCGTGCAATGTAAATTGCCCTGTAAGGCCCAAGGAACATTTGCATTTATATTAACTTGGACAGCGTTTACCAAATAAGTAACAATCATAAGGTAATTCGAAATACCTAACTGTTACCGATTCGCTTAAACTCTTTATTTATGAACACGCAAAACAAGAACCAAGGCAATAATGATGGTAAACCAGCTCGCGTATTTCTATGTATTGCTAATGATTTTTTTGATGATCAACAATTTCACCGTATCGCCAAAAGTACATAGTTAACAAATATTTGTTAATTTTAACCAAATATTAACCAGATTTTATGTTAATCCAGGTCCACATAACTTTATGTTAAGTTTAAAACCAACTGAAATCTGTTAAATAATTAAATAAGTAGTTTGTAATTATTATTATTATTATTGTTATTATTATTTTTATTATTATTATTATTATTATTATTATTATTATTAATATTAAAATTAGACGCAGTAACAAAAGTATTTGTTTAAAAAAAATCACGTGTACTTTTTCAACAAAATAATTTGTTAAACATTAACAAAATAATCTGTAACCTTTGAAATCAACAAAATGCTTACAAAATTTCATATTACCTTTACAAAACTTTCGAAAAAATATTTTCCTTTGTTAAAATAATTACAAACCCTAGTTTTTTACAAAAAATAATGTTAAAATTTTACAAAATAAAATTAACAAACTACAAACTTATGTTAACAAATCTGAAGAAAAATAAAATTACTTTAAAAAAAACTTATTTTTTAAAATCCGAACTGTTAGCTCTGGTAGTTTTAAGATTATATTAAATACATACAACAAAACCGTACACGTGTATGTTAATTTGATAAAACTCGAGTCAGTGTCCCAGCGTAAAACGTTAAGCCATAGAAATCTAGTACTACTATCTAGTTTTTAAAGTGAGTAGCCGTGTGTTTCGTGTACTAAGCATATATTTGTTTTATGGTAATGATAACAAATAATACAGGCGTGATAATATTGTTACTTACGCATTGTTACATAACAAACATTGTTCACATTATTTAATTTTTAGGTGCAAAAAACGGAAAGATTTTTTTTTTAAATTACATGCTATAATTTACAATGTATTACTAAAGTGGTGTTGTGTGTGTGTGATAAGGTTTTTATCAGATATTAAAAAGTAAATCTTGTAGGTAGAACTTTTGTCAATTTTTTTAGATTTGTGTATTTTAGTATATGTTATAATGTGGGTGAGAATTGTAAATAATATTTAAAAATTCACAATGAAAATTAAGAATTTTATTTTATTTAATATCATTTTAAATGTAAAATATTATGTTAATAAATTTTAAATTACTGAACTCTGTTACTAGTAAACAAAATAAAAGTACTTAAAAAGTCTTAAGTATATTTTTAAATGTAATTTTTACGTTTTTAGTTTCAAAACTTATACAATATTTTATTGTATTTTTTTAATTTTGTAATTATCAAAAAAAAATATTTTTATATTAATATTTTAATAGGTATTAGTGATTAGTTAAATAATAAAAATATTTAAGGAAATGTACATTAATTACACTGTGCGACAAATTTTGACCTTACAATTTGAACTGGGATGAAATGTGGAAAAATCGAATCTATGCAACCACCAAAACTAATCTTTAAAGGGGTTTTGCTAGTTTAGCTCGAATAATGGAGATATACAGGGTGTTTCTTTTAACTTGAGACAGCTCAATATCTCGAGAAATACGCATTTCACGGAAAAATGTCTTAAATAAAAGGTTAATGTGACCAAAGGAGACATTATTTGGTGCTACCGCTAGCCACCCCCTACCCCTCCTTAAGGGTGAAACGGGGGGTAACTTTGGAAAGTCAAATGGAATGACCCGATTTTTTTCACAGAGTTTGGTAGTACATAAAAAAATAAATAACTTTTATTTAAAACTTTTTTCAATTTATCAACAGATGGCGCTGTAATTCAAAATTTAAGAAAAATGAGTTTTCTTGTAAAATGTATTATTTGAAACGTCATTCCATTTGACTTTCCAAAGTTACCCCCCGTTTCACCCTTAAGGAGGGGTAGGGGGTGGCTAGCGGTAGCACCAAATAATGTCCCCTTTGGTCACATTAACCTTTTATTTAAGACATTTTTCCGTGAAATGCGTATTTCTCGAGATATTGAGCTGTCTCAAGTTAAAAAAAACACCCTGTATATCTCCATTATTCGAGCTAAACTGGTAAAACCCCTTAAAGGATTTGTTTTGGGGGTTGCCTAGATTCGATTTTTTCAGATTTGATCCCAGTTCATTTTTTGTGTTGCACAGTGTTATCAAGATAGTTATTTAAAAAGGAATTACTTTTTTAAGTAAATTTAAAATTTCCTTGTTTATATAAATATGATTTTTTATTAAATAAACTAATAATTTAAAATTTAATTTGGTCAACCTATTACATATAAATTTACAGTTTTAATGTACGATCGTATAAGATTTGTCGGCACGATTTAAAAGGTTGAAAAAAATTGATTTTTGTAAATAGGATTTACATACACAAATATCAAATTTATTTTTGTAATAAAAACCCATTTTATAAAAAGATAAATAACATTAAGTTATTATGAACTTAAAATGACATTGAAAAATTAAAAAACAAACAGCAGTTCTCAAATAATTTTTAAAAACTAAAAAATATGATAACTTCGTTATGCTTGGAAATTTTGAAAAAAAGTAAATTTCACATTTATCCTCGCATTTATCTACATTTTCATCCAATCCAAAGCGTACTAAAATTTGAGTTACCTATGGCCGCCATATTGGAATTTTACATGTCTTATAGAAAAAAAATCAAGGAAGCTAACGATGTATCTAACTACATAAGTTATGGCGGTCATTATAAAAACAAAAGATGGTGATGGTAACTCAAAATATACCTAGTAAATTTGATGAAAATGTAGATTAATCCTTTAATATAAATTTTACTTTTTTTTTTAATTTTCAGGAATAACGAAGTTATAAGGATTTTTGGTTTTGACAGATTTTTAGTTGTTTTAAAAAATTACTTGGCAACCGCATTTTTTTCAACTTTCAAATAAAGCAACAGAATTCATGAAGTAAGTTGAATGCAAAGATAACAAAAAAATAAAAAAGGTAGAAGGATTGTCTAAATATTTTATAAAAATAAATGTTTTTTTAATAATTTACCAAATATCCTTAGATAATAATACCTATGTTCAGTGTTGTAGACGAAAATGACAGATTGATAATTTTGTTTGGACACAGTCAACATTATCGTTTATTATTGCAAAACTGTGCGGTGAGTTAACAATATAATATGGCACTTCTACAGGCATAAGGGCATAAGAGAAAAAAAATTCATTAGTTTTTTAATGTCACTTTAGAAGATATATGTATTAATTAAAGGCATAGGCTGTGTAGGAAATGTATTTAATTAACGAATATTTTATAACATGACAATAAGAAATCGGTATTATTTTTTTCTCGTATGCATTTAATATAATAATAAAATCCCGTGTAGTCTTAGCAACTAATATTGTAGATAAGTATACTTGAAACTTTTCAAGGTGCCAGTATCGTAAAAAACAGGAAATTTTTATTTTTGATTTAAAAAACCGTCAAAGGTATATATAGCCTTTTCTAATTTAGACATTATTAAGGCCCTTTTTAGGGTGAATTTAAATCTGACAATACATTGATAGTAACATTTATAAAAAGAAAATGACTTTAGTCATTATTATAATACAATATATACCCAACTTTCTGTTCTGAAAGGTTTTTAATGTGCTAAATTCGAATTCAACCTCAGAATTTTAACTGAGGTTTTTGAGAACTTTAAACCCAAAAATAAAATCACGATTTGTTACTTCCTTTTTAATTAAAATGCTTTTTAAATTTTAACCTAATAAAATCAAATTTTGTCTTATTAAACGAAACCAAAAAATGTATGTTTGTTTAAATGTTGAATGCATATGCATATTTGGTAACTAAAATTGAAATATTATAAAAACTTAGTAGGTTACAAATAAAATAGTTTAATCAAGAACAAATCTTGTTAAAAAAGTAGGTAATTAATATTTAATGGATTTATTTATAAAAATTAAGTATTGATTAAATGTTAAAAGAAATTGAAAGAGAAATAAATTTAGAATAAAAATATGTACTACCTTTACCTTTTATCGATCCACCCGATGTGTGCGGTTGCTGAGATTGCACTTGCGATTGTTGCACTTCCAGCTTCGTAGTAACATTGTTCCACATTTCAAACATTTTGGCGGTTATAGTTGCTGATAAAAATCTTTACTATTTAATATTTACAAAACACAACTTTACACTTTCTATTGTTTTTCAGCATGTTTGGTAACTCGTATCACTTTTCAATTCAAGTTTTTTTATTATATTTTGAAAACTCGCGAATATGCAGTTTTTGGCGTCGTTAACATAATTTAGCCTGTTTCTATGGGACCGAAAATTTTATCCCTGTTCTTGGTACGTTTGATGCAATATATCCTCCATCTCTTCATAATAGTTGCAAGAAAACCAACTTTTTTTGTTTCTCCATTTAATTCGACCAGTTTCGCCTGTACAGACAAATTCGAAAATATTTTTGTGTTAATGCTTCTAAAGAGAGATCCCTTCGATTTACATCAAATTTATTAACAATGAGGAACCCTCACAATATTCTTGCTTTTTGAAGGTTCCCCATTTATTAAAAAAATTATATATAAATGTCGGTACCTCTAATGATCATTTGATTCAAACGATACCACCATTGAATAACAATATAATTAAAAATGGATTCTTTATTTACTTTGTGATAGCAGTATTGCCAATTTTACCTATTTCTTTGGTACTAAGTTAAAATTAAATTTTGAAGTTTTGTACCTATATATTTTTTGATCCTGGTTCGGAACTAATAACTTTTTTAAATAAACTAAAACTCATGCAAAATGGTATACCGAATCGGTTAATCTATAAATACGCGCGTCGGGTATTTGACACCATTATAGAGATATTATATAACCAGATTACGTTTTATCAAAATGTATTAAATAACAGAACCTAGCCAGTTGATTGTTTCGCTACTACTACTAGGCAGCGACAAACAACAAAATGTTGGGATAGGTCAGATTTGCGCGTATTTGGAATGTTTCATATTTGTTTCCTTGGTTACGACCAAAACAATTGTTTTGAGATTAATTTCTGTTTTAAGCTTTAATTGAGTTATTTTCGTTTTATTTGCTTCTTTTTATACATTTTTTTATTAATATCACTTTGAACTCATTTTGCTTTATAATAAAATCTATTTATTTTAAATATTTATTTAATAAATTTATAAAACTCACATATTTTAGTAAGCAAAAAAGTATTTAGGTATCAATAAATGCAAATAAACAAAGTTTTTCTATCTTTTTTTGTAGTGGGACATTTTTAAAATCCAGTGCCTAGATTCTAGTCCCTCAAAAGTATTTATTAAATAACCAAACATATTAAAAAATTTTAAGTCTAAAAAAAGTTACAAACAAATTATACCGGTAAATTTTGAATTATGAATCGTTCAAGTTAAAAAAAACTTGACAACGCTATATGTTTAATAAGCTAAAACGTTTTTTACAACAAGCTACAGGCGTCATAAACATTGATTTTAACCTTGGTATTAATGAATGACATAGATTTGAGGTTAGGTATCAGACACTTTGAGTAGAATTGAGAGAAGTGTAGTCACAACCAAGGTGCGCGCAGTTTTTGAGCCTGTAGCTCGGTAGGGGGGGCTTGTCTCGGCATGGCTTACCACCCCCTTCATTTTTACCATTTATCTCATAACACCCTGTATGTAATTTTAAGAGATAAATTAAAATTATAGTTTATAGATCGCTTAAAAATTAATGAAATATTTAAAAACCTAATATATTATATTATGATTTATAAAATTATTATATTTATTTATATTTATTATGAAAGAAGCATAAAAGAATCTTTAAAAATTTAATAATTAGCAAAAAATATACATAAAGTTTTTGTAAAATCGTATTTCCTTAATAAATTACAAATGTTACTAAAAATCTAAAATTGTATAATTTAATATAAATTAAAAAAATGGACGGAAGAAAATAAAACAAAATTCGGAATTATAATTATAATAATTGAATCGGTGAGATAAAGAACAGTACATTCCCAAAAATTTTATTTTGACAGATCATTTTCTAAAATCAATTTAAAAGTTTAAAATGCATTTTTGTGAAAAGACAAAATTTAACTATTATATTTTATAAAATAGTTGAAATATTCTCACAAAAATTAACTATAAAACTGATTTTATGAAATAATTTGTCAAAATTTTAACTTTTGGACTTGTACTGTTCTTAATCTCGCCGATTCAATTATAAAAAATGTAATATTAAATTAAATATTAAAAAAAAAAACACTATAAAAAAGGTTTTTTGAAAAACTAGATAATTTATAGGCTAGGATAACCCCAAATAAAATAAATAAAAAATTACAAATGTTATGTAAAATAAATTTTAAAAATGTACGAAAGAAAATAAAACAAAATTGGGAATTATACTAAAAATGTAATAATAAACTAAATATTAAAATAAACACATTTTTTTTTGAAAAACTAGATAATTTATAGGCTAGGATAACCACAAATCTCAATTTATTTCTTCAATAATTAATAACCGAGAAATTAACTCCTTACCTATGGGTACAAGTTATTAAAACGAAAATTTGTTTCTATAGGGGTTATTTTATTATTTCTAAGGAAATACGATTTATCAAAAACTATTTACGATAGGATTATGTTTATTTTTAGACCGACTTCAAAAATGTAATCAGAACTTGTTTATCTTCTATTGTTTTTACGTAAACATGGCATTTGCTAAACAAACTCAACAATTAAAAAAAATATATTGAACTTTTATGTGACAAAAAACTGAACGTTTTTAAAAAATCACAGGGGACAGATTTAAAAAATTACAGGTGTCAAGCTATAACAAATGTCAAAAATGAGCCTTATATAAGAACAAAATAAGCTGTCATTATTTACATTTGTCAAAATGACGGATCTTGCAGAAAATTTTAAAAATTACAATAATTAATTAGGCCTATAAATCATGTAAAAAACTTGAAACGAAAATCAAAGTGGGTGTGGTGGACTTTTTCCTTATTGTGTTTGATTTGACGTGGAATGACTTATTAGAAAATCACAAAAAAAAATGAATAAAAAACAAGAAAAACATAACTACAAATTTACAAAAAAATCATTAATGAACATAGATGGATTAAAATTTAATTTAATTAAAATAAAAAATTAAAACACGTTTATCAGAAAACACATTTTTTTTATATAATTTTTTTTTTTTGAAAATTGATAAAACAATATAAAAATAAATTAAAATATTATTATATTACCTGAAATTTATAATGTAATAATTATGATTAAAGTAAACTTTTGTTTTTAAGATACTATTTTTTAATAAATGGTCAGTAAAAAATAAAATAATTTTGACCAGGTAAATTTAAAGAACTGACCCACTGTGCCAGTGTACACACGATGCATGCACACATGTCCCTCTTTACGTAACTGCATGCAAGAAACCTCATCGTCATATCTTCTTTAAAATACATAGTATTGATTACTGGCGAGCGTTCTATGTAGGAATCCACACTCGACGTGGTAGTTCTCTCGACGTTCTTTGTTTTTTTTTTCAGCGCGTTCTCTCCACATTACAAAATGAAAATTTATTCAACATTCATGGCGGTTTAAAAAAATTTAATTTAAAAATATCAGATCATTTCAGTTTTGTTCCCGATAGAATGTTGAGGAAGTTTTATTTATAAGATTGCATTTAATTAAAAAATGACAAATATGAAGTTTTTATTCGAAAATTGTTTTGGTGGGACTACTTAATATTTTGTTTTTTTAACTTTTAATTTCGATATGTTGTAGGTGAATTTTAATAAAATAATAAAACAATTTTTAGTTTTGTAATATTTTGTTGTGAAAAAACTATTTATTTATATTAAAATGCATATAAAACAAAATTTCCTTTATTATTATTTTTTTCGAATTCGCAAAATTTCATGAGTTATTTTATTTATAAAGCAGAAACACCATGCTCTCATTGGCGGCTTTAAAAATTAAATAACTCCTGAAATTTTGCGAATTTAAAAAATGGTACCCTCGATGGTACCTATAGGAAATTATGTTTTAGATTTTTGCAAGCCTTTCGTTTGGTCTGGTTTGGGACACCCTGTATATACCTACATATTATGTATTTAGATTTTTATAAAATAAATTGTTAATAATCATTAAGATTATTGATGAATTAAAAATCAATAAAAAATTTAGGATTAAATTTTAAAATTGTTAATGGTTGTTATGGTAACCAATTAAATGCATTTATTCCTGAATTTAAATCAAATGCCTTTTTTCAAAAAAGCCATGAATTAATTTAAAATTTTATTTTTACTTTAATTTCATCGTAAACTCGGTAAAAATGTTTTGCCCCTTTAATTTTGATTAACATCTGGCGCGACCTGATTGGCTTGCCAAAAAGTGCTATCTCGTTTATTTTGGAGAATTCAAACATTGAAAATATTTTCAGGTGTATTAAAAAATAAAATTAAAATTTTGTAGTTACTAAAAGAAAATATATAACCTATAAAAATAATAATAAAAATATTTTTGATTTTTGGGTCTGTACTTAATAAATTATGTTAAAAAGTAAATTAATTAACTTTTGATAAAAGTCATAACTTTTCCTACCCTGATTTGTTTGCATTTGATTAAAATGCGAAAATCTTTAAATTCCCAAAATGTACATATTTAGGTACATCTTGAAAGACATAAAACATAATTGTATTATGTTTTATATTTATGTTTTATTTTTTATATGTTTTCAAAATTTGTAAGATAAAAATCATTCTAAAAATTATAAAATAATAACTATTTTTAAAAATACATTAAATCTTCTAAATATTAGGTAATTTTTGCTAATAAAAAATTGTGGAATATTTTGATTGATCGGGGATTTTTGTGTAAAAAACATTTTTCTACATTTAAAATAATAGAAATTTAAGCTAAAAGCTGCTTGTTTATTTATTTACTCATATATTTATAAAAAAAGGACAGTTGAAGTTAAAGTTTAATTAGTAGTAATAATTTTTAAAATTACTATTAACTGAAAAATAAACAAAAGTGTCTAAATAATAATAAAATGTAAAAAACTGCGAAATTTAAATTATTTACTCCCAACCAGCAAATTAACATAACATCAGCTTTTATCGCAGTTTTGCAATTTAAATAAAAAATATATACGATTTTTAACTTTCCCTATAATTATAATCATTAATGTAATACAGTTACAAAACTAAATATAACGCGCTGTTTGTGGTTAATGAACTTTTGAAGGTAACTGTTTATTTGGCTAATATTGTTGAAAAAAGTTTGGGCCATGAGAAATTCTCATTAACTGTATTTTTCGAATAGTGGTTTCGTTTGAATCAAACTTTAAAATAGGTGGTTAATTAGTGGACAAACCTTTTAATAAAAAATAAATTTTAGCGATATAATCCAATAATTTTGCACTTAATATTCACAGCACTTCATCACAAACCACCACGCATTTGATAGAGAATTTCCGAATTAGATCCATTTTTACACGTTTACGTTACACGTGCATCAACTGTCACTGTACACGCATCCAATCAATCCTTCAATCGCCGAAAATACGTTGCAGAGCGCTTAGGTGTCAAAAGCCGCCTAGATCGTCACTATACAGTAGTGATAGCTGCGTAACGTTAAAGGTAACTGTACACAAAAACGTAAGAGGCCGCAACAACGGTGTCTTGGCGTACACTAAATGTTGGTCTCCCATCCGCCATCCACGCTAGAAGTAGAAAGTGGGCATACGCTGTTGGTCCGGCGCATGCCTAAAATAGTCCTAACTGTAATTTTTTTCGTCCCCGAAACGGTGAATTTTTTCAGGTTTTTCTTTTGCCGTTGCCTCCAATTCACGTTTTTGTGTTCGTGAATGAACTGTCTGCCGGTTGTGCGAATTTTTGCTGGATACAGAATTAGAAAAGAAGAAACTTATTTTTATAAATCACAAGAAATGTAAAATTAGACAGAAACTAGTAAATTATTTTAATTATAATTAATAATAATAAAATATTATATAAAAAATCATAAATATATTACTTAAAATACGTAAAAATGTTTAAATATAGAAACAAAAATATAGATTAAATACAAACAATCCCATATAATCTTAAAAATTAAATAAATATGAAGAAATATCATAAAAATAAAAATCAAAAAAACACCTTAAAATTAATGAAATACATTATAAAAAAATATTACATCTGAGAATATTTCGTCCCAAGTACTACAAATTTGTATCTCAATCTAATAATGAAAACATAGGAAGTTTTATGCCTACGACGATTGTGCATATTCTTTATTTAGATATTGCTGAATATCTACATAAATAATAAAAAAGATGATTAACTATATAACTTATAAAATCAATAAAAACAATAATAATTTAAAGGGATTCAAATATATGTTTGCGTCATTGGTGTGTCCCATTAAATTAATAGGTGTATAACAACTTTATAAAGTTATATAATAGGTGTATAACAACTTTATAATGCATATCTTTTTGAAACAACGCGTTGCAACGTTGAGAAATAAATAAATTTCTTTTCGTATACCTATTTTTTAGGACTTGAAAAACTTGAAAAAACTTGAAAAACTCCTAAAACACTGTTTTGAGTAATTTGAATTTATAACTTATTTTCATTCGGTCTATTTTCTAAAAATGGAGCTATACTCTCTAAAAACTAAACTTATTGTACTACATAGTTGTTTTTTAGTTATTTTATTATTATTATTATTAAATGAATTGGTCAAAAATGACTAATTTCATAGTTATTAGCTGCTTTTTTACTTGTACCATGGTTAACCATGGTATCCCAAAATTTAACAGCCAATTCTTATGTAAAATTGTCCCCTGAATCCGAAAATACCGTCAAAAGTTAAAAAAGTAGAACAGTTTTTGAGATATAGTAAATTTTTCCATTTAATATGGAATTGACTATATCTCAAAAACTGCTCCACTTTCACAATTTTTTATAAGAATTGGCTGTTAAATTTTGGGATACCATGGTATGGTACAAGTGAAAAAGCAGCCACTAATAAATATTAGTCATTTTGACTAATTCATTTTTAGAGAGTACCATTTTTCTTGCGCCCGACATTGATCGGTTTAACCGATTCGGTTATGCTCGTAGTTGAGTTGTCCTTGCAGAAACAATTATAAGTTAGAACATGTACTTAAGTCAAAAAATCAAATAATAGAGTTATCTAATTCTTGCAGTAACCCGACGAAATATTAGTTTCGAAAATGACAATTTCTGTACTGAATATTGTTTAAATATCGATTTTTTGTTTTAAAATAAACATATCATGAAAAGAAGTTTTATTTAATTGGATATTACGGAACTCAATTTTTTTAAATATGCATAGAAAACAAAAAAAATAAAGTTTACAAATTAATACATAAAACTATAAATATAATAATACTACATAACTATATAAAAAAATAATAAATTAAATAAATAAATTTAAATAAAAATATTAAAAAATATTTAAAAAATTCCATAAAATCCTACAATTTATTGAAATATGCTTGGAAATTAAGAACAATATCAAAATTGATAAAATTCGCTAAAAAATAGACAAAATTGTAAATTATAAAAATTATTAATATATTTTTAATAGTTTTGTTACCGTTTTTTTCTGACTTTTTTATTAATGAATTCCAATCAAGCATATTTTTGTCATTTTCGCAAAGAAAACAAATGCATTAAAACCATATTTAAAATTTTAGCAAATCTTTAGAAAAAAAATTGAATTAGTTTTATATAGTCATTAAAGTTTAAAAATTTACTAAATAAAAACGGAAAAAACAACCGTTTTTTACATCTTAATTCACTTGTAAAAATCAACAAATTTATATTTTATAAATGAGACCATGACAAAAAGTACCTATGTAAATTGTTGTTAATTTTCCATACTTTTTAGATACATGTATGTATGTATAATATATAAAAAGTTTAGAGAATTAACAAAACATCCCAAAAATAATTTGTATATTCATAAAAATTGTAAAATTGGAAATTTATTTTTTTTAATTAGAAAATACTACAAATTTATAAAAAATTAAGAAAGATTATAAATACATTAAAAAAATTAAAAACAATATCACATGTAATTATAAAATAATAAATTTATTTGTATAGAAAATCATTAAAAAATTTTAAAAAATTATATAAAATTTATAAAAAGTAAGAATACAAAAATCTCCGAGTATTGTATATTTTTTTCGTCCCGAGTACGTTCCCATTTTCTTTTACCGTTTTTCCGTATTCAGTGAATACTTTTCACGTTTCTTTTTATATTTTGTAAATAAAAGCGCAGTTATGCACGTCAACGTGCCTGAGCTTTAAATAGATCGGGCGACACCAATAATTGTTTACAGGTATTATTTATGTTTTAATCCGAGGTTTGTTAATTTAAGTTTGATAAGGGTTTTTTTAGTGTGTTGATGATAACGCGGGTCAATATACTCGCATTTAAAGTTTTAGCCATTTTTGATATAATTAAAAAACCAAACTATTTAATTATTTTTGGGCTTGAGTAAAATATTCTATAAAAAATATAAGAAAGTTTATAACCTATGAAAAAATGTAGTAATTGGTCTTGAAAAACACCATATTTATATTTTTAGAGTAAACAGCTGGAGCTCTTTCAAGACTTTTCGCTATTATGCATTTTTTAATAGGTACCTACTATTTTCTTTTTCTACTTTTTATACAGGATGAAACATGTATTCTTTTATATGTAATACATATGATGTATACTTCTATAGGTATTTTTTTTACTGAACAGCTACAATTTCTGTCTATAGACAGAAATAAAATTTTTAAATTTATAAATTGAAAAAGAAGCCAGCGGTTCTCAAAATATTTAAAATAAACTAAAAATATTTTAAAACCTAAAATCATTATAACTCTGTTATTCGTGGAAATTTTGAAAATAAGTATAACAATTTTTATATTATAAGCCTATAAAGACTTGTACGCAGTTCAAGTTAAACTATTATACACCGCTGTACAATAATGAAAATACATGAAATTACATAGGTCCCAAATATCCAATTATAAGGAAATGTGGAAAATTCGGTTGATTAAAAATTTGGACAATCTGGAAACATTTTATTTTCTTGGGTACTTTGGTACTTATCCATATATTATAATAGAGTTCTTTTTTCTTCGTAAAATTGTGAATTAATACGTAGATAATTTAAAAATGGGCTTATTTTGATTATTTTTATATATACCTGGTGAAAAAGTAAACTGTCCAAAAACACAAAATTAAGGTACATTTTTAATTCGGTTAATCCGGACATTCAGTCAATCAGGTTTCGGATACTCAGGACTTGGTGTATCTTATAAGTAAATTGTAGTTAATATTAAAATTAAAAACTGTTAACCACAATGAATTTTAAAAACAAATAGAAAATCTCATACCCATTACGAATTATTCTAGCGTTGAAAAAGCTGTCGTAATGATTGGTTTTACAAAAGAAATCATCAAGGATCTTAAAAAACAATATTATATTTCAATAAATAAATTCAATGATATTAATATTTAGCTGTTTCGTAATAGTTATAAATACCATTTATCACCTGCAGGCAACCTAAACGTTCAATAAATCCGAGATTTTATGTTAAAAACCTCCAAGATAAAAAAAGATTTAGCACCAAAGTATAGCTAAAGGTGTATTATTAAGTCCCCCCATTGTTAATACCAGATTTTTATCAATTGATATCCTACCTTTTTAAGATAATGCCATGTAATAAGAGAATTTTTGCCTTAAAAAATACGCGTTCTTTATAAATTTTAAGGAAGCGTTAATAATAGATTTCAAAGTAATAATAGAAGAAATAGAAGTACAATTTGGCAGGTACAAATTTATACACGCAAGTTTCGGTACCGCGGTACCGTTAGCACTTTTGGGTTCGGCGAGTACAGCAACAAAGGATACAATTAGGTATTTTTATTACACTCACAACAAAATGTTTAATACATTTTTTATATAATTTTTTGACTGGTACTTTTAAAGTTTTAAGGTTTTCATAATTAAAAAGTCTTATTTTTATTCTATTTTAAGAATATTTATTTATATAATGATAGCAAGTTTTGATTTTTGGATAATGAGAAAATATATGTTTTCTTTAAAACCATTTTATTTGGATAAGTAATATTTCGGTTTATTAAGCTAAAAAAAATCAGGGAAACCGTTGAATTAAGGTTTTCAGGTTTTATTATATAAATATTTTTTGAACAATAACATTACTTAAAAAAAGTGATTTGAAAATAAAAAACAGCCTTGTATAATTTCTTTCTACTCCCACCTTTAAAACACCCATTATCGTACATGTTTTCATTGCACTAAGTATACTAAGTATACACTGTTCCGTCTAGACAAGACAAGACAAGAGTTACTTACTCTTGTCTTGTCTTGAAAATTTCAAGACAAGAGTTGTGTAAGTCTAAGTCTTGATTAAAAAAACTTAATGCGGTCTTGTCTAGATTAACTAGTCTAGATTATTATTTAAGAGTCTAGATTATTTTGACATGTTTCCCTTTTGTATATATATACTGTTTAATTAATTTTGTATGTGCAAATTTTGAAATAAAGATTATATTATTATTATTATTATTATTATTATTATTATTATTATTATTATTATTATTATTATTATTATTATTATTATTATTA